GGGCTAATAATGGTACCAACATGCTGAGATTTAGGACGATTAGGTGCATATAATGTGCCTAGACCAGTGTCTGGCACAAGGTAGGTGCTCAGAAAACTATCCATTGAGATGATAAAGCCCTCTGGGGTATGGTCCCCAGGTGGCCCAGCATCCCATTGGGATGAAGGTCAGTGAGGTGCTGGCTACCGCCCTAGCTGGCCACCCCAGGTCCAAGGCCCTGACCTCATAGCCCACAGTGGCTGCTGTAGGCTCTCACTGTGATGCAGTCCCGCAGCTCACACCCACACAGCAATTCTTCTCTCAATCAGAGCTCAGCACCTGGGGAGTCTGACCCAGCCTGAGGCTTTGCAGAAGCAACAGCTATACCCACAAGGGAGAGTCTACACTCCATCCTGAGTTTTGGGGTATTCTGTGCCTTGGATACAAGGCCCCCAGACATCCCCCTTGCTCTCCCGGCTGGAGGGAGGTGGAGATGGAGGATGGCTTTCTTGCAGACAGCCACGTGTACCCCCTCCACCCTCACTCACTGCCATGGCCACCCGTTTCTTCATTCCTCGAGTCCATGAATATTTACTGAGCACTCACTGTGAGCCAGGCCCGAGCTCAGGACTTCCATGCAGAGAGTCTAACTTAATCCTCCAAGTACCCTGAGGGTCATCATGATTTCCCTCTTTCCATTGGGCAGCTGAAGAAACCAAGGCTCAGAGAGGCTGAGAAAGTCGTCTAAGCCCACAGAACTCATTAGCAGAGGACTAGGGCCTTGTGCCTAATCCAGGAGGGTCTAACTCCCAAGTCCTGCTCATACCTACCCTCTGGAGCTCACCCCCCTGGAAGCTGGAAAGGGCCTGCTGTGGTCCTCTGGCCCCCAAGCTGTCCCACCCTTAACTGTTCGAAGAGCTGAGCCCCTATCACTTCCCCTACCCCTCCCCGTCCTGAGGGTTGTCTCTCCCACAGGTGAGGAGCAGGTGGCAATGATGATGATTCACAGGAGGGTGGGCAGCCTCCAGGGAGTGGGGTGGAGGCAAGGAGGCCTGGGCAATCTCCCCAGGCTGGAGGCAGGGTCCAGGCAGTGTGGGGGGATTCCTGCCTCAGAGTGCCTGCTCCTGCACCTGCTCCTTTCAGTCCCTAGAGCTGGGCTCAGCCTGTGACCCCCAGCAGTGGCGAGGAAACCCCCAGAAGGTCTTACCAGGCAGGTTCTCTAACCCAGAAGGAAGCTCTAGAGGAAGTGAGGGGAACCAGGAAGAGGAACCCGTAGGGGTTATGAAAGCTCGACTCCTCCCCCCACTCCCTGGGACAGTGGCCCTTTCATCCTGGTACAACACAGTGCTCCTCCTGGCAGCTTCAGAGCAACCTTTACAGTTTGCAAAAGCACCCGCGCCTGTGGAGTCCCTCTCCCTCTCTCCTTCTGGCTGCTACTACCAATATCAACAATAGTGCCTCTTCCTTGCTAAGGGCTTAACATCTGTCCTCTTTGTTAAACTCCCAGTAACAGTAGGCTCTACCCATCCCCCCATTTTACAGACCAGGAAACTGAGGCTCAGAGAAATGAAAGCACTGACCCATGATTCATAACTAGGATTTGAACCCAGGTCTGTCTGCTCTAAAACCCCTGGGTTCAGCCACAGGGGTCTCTGTGCCCCACCCCCATCCCAAGGGAGGGGGTCACTGCTGAGCCCAGGCCCCAGGCCCCAGCCCCAAAGAATAGCCCAACTGGGCATTCCCCTAGCCTCTCCACCCCCCTTCCCTCCACAGGTGCCAAACACTAGTCCCACTGCTGCATCTTCCAAATCTAGTTGCAATTTCATTCCTCCCCAGGGATTCACAATCCACAAGTAATTTCAGGCCATAGACACTGGCATTTCCTGTGCCCACGCCACCCTCCAGCCACACGCCCACCCACATGCCACCCATCTGCACAGATGCACGTGTGCACACACACAGGTGCAATGGGGGTGCTGCTGCCCCTGCCGAGGGCGCCTGGGGCTGGCTGTTCCTAGACTCCAGTGGGAGGCTGGAGGGGACTTGACCCTCCCCCAGCTGGCTGGCCCTAGTCTCCACGTCCACGCCCCAATTTCGCAAAGAGAATCCCTGTAAGCATGATCGTAATAGGAATCAGCATTTCCAGTTGGCAGATCTTTCTCATCTAATCCCTCACTTGATGATGGTGAGCTCCCAGAGGCAGGTGTTTTTGTATATTCATTTCCTAGGTGCAGCAGAGGGTCACACAGCTAGTTAGGAGTGGAACCAGGGCCCTAGTCCCCTCATCTCATCCTCTCCACCAAGGCTCCTTCTCTTGAGCTGCAAATAATGACACATCATGGTCAGCAGCTCCAAGCACCTGTCCTTGCCTAGCGCTGTCTTGTTCTCGTCTAGCACTTGACGAATGTCCGTTTCTGGCTCATGACAGCCCAGCAAGGTGAACTTTTTTGGTGCCCAGTATAAAGATAAAGATGAGGTAACGGAGAAGTTAAGAGCAGAATGGCAATCCAAGGAATGTTTCTGAACTAGACGCACATCACTTCAGAAAACTCTATAGGAAGGAAGAGAGCATGAGTGTCTAATGGGCGCTTTAGGGAGTGTGGATGTGCGGGTAATGGATAGCTTCTTCCCTGTCCTCCTGCCCACCCAGCCCTTCGCCTGTTATGAGCTGTCTCCATGGCTGTTTGTGCGTGCCTCTGTCTCCCAGGAGCTGGGAGCTCCCCTAGGACAGGGACTGGGTCCTGCTCACCTCCAGGGCCCCAGAACCCAGCACCTGGCCTGACACACAGGAAGGCCCCAGACAAGACTGCCTCCTTCATGAGGATGGGGGGACAGCCTGTGCTCCCAGGCTCCCTGCGGATCGGTTTGAGAAACAGAGAGAACACAAAATCAAGACCCACAGGGCTCAAAGCTTATCTACGTTCTTTGCCACCTAAGGTGTGAATCCCCCTCTAGCACTGTCATTGATTCTTCCCTGGCTTCTGTTTGCATGCTGCTAGTGACAGGGTGCTCACTACTACTACAGCAACGCCTCACATGTTGGAGACCTTGGGGTGATTGTTACAGAGCTCCTCCATTGTATGTAAGGTCAGGGTCTTGAGTATATACAATGGTCACACTAAAGGCAGCACTGGCAGTGTCTCCATGTCAAGGGAGACAATCAGAGGTGACACTTCACAGTAATGAGGTCGGTACCTGCCCGGCAGCAACCTAGAGCCCCGCATGCTTGGAAGACAGAAGAGGCAAAAAGGAATTCATCATCCCAGCTTGAGCTGGCTCTGTTGAGGCCGCGGGCTGAGCCTCTGAGTTGTTGCAAAGACTATGAAGCCTCGAGTCAGGGGGATCTTGGGTCCGTGATTCACCCAACACACTTAGGAGCAATCCTGATCTGTAGTTCTAGTCATCCATTCATTCATTCATTCACTTATTCATTATTGGCCATCAGTGCCTGATGGTTTAGTCTGGAAGCAGGGCTGGTGGCACTGGGGGCCACAGAGGGGCCTCGGGATCAGAGTTGTTCCCTTGGTAATCAGGACAGCTCTGTCACTGAGAGCTCTTGCCAGCCAGGTAATGTTCCCTTTACTTCCGTGTAAAGGGCACAGCCTCTCCCGCCCAGTCCCAGCTCCCGGAAGGGCAGTGAGAGTCTTCTTGGCAGTCAGTGCTCAATAAGTGTGTGCAGCTGCTGCTCCACAATCAGGGGTGTTTCTACTCTGGGACACCCCCATTTTGTAGGCGGAGGGAACAAGCCATGGAGAGGTTAAGTAACTTGTCCCACAGTCACCAAATGGCTGAGGTAGGATTTGAATCTGGGCCCTTGGTCTAGTCCCAGACACTGCTTGATTAACCCTTCAGAAACTAATGTGGAAAGAGCTCAGACCCAGAGTCAAAATGCCCACCTAGCTAGACCCAGGGCAACCCCACACCTCACCACCACCTGCCCTATTTACTTATCTCATGAAATGGAGCCTGTCATCAACCTTGCCCTTCTGTCCCCACCCCCACAACCATCAGATAAGATGAAGAGAACCAGGCATTTTTCTCAGAAGGAGGGTACGTGGTGGTGGGATTTGGGGTGAGAGACACATTACTGGTCACAGGGGGCTTAAATGAGCCCAGAGTGAGTGGGGGCGTTGTTTGTAGGAACCTGGTTCTTTTAGGCTGAGGGGCTCCCAGAGAGCCTCCAGGACCCCTAGGCCACACCCTCCCCCCTCCTCCCCCCACAGGATGTGTAGAGATAAAAGGTCTGACAACCATGCCCCCCACCACGTGTCCAGGAGTCCCAGATAAGATCTTAGTCCCATGACAGTGCAGTTTAGGGCAACGTCGTGGAGACCAGATTTTACGGTGAAGGATGATGAAAGTGGGTGTGTATGTGGAAGGGGTGGTTGTCCTATGGAAGGGGAGAGAAAGGTGGGTCAAGGCTGGAAGCCCAAATCAAAAGTCCCTGACCATCATCTGTAAAATGGGATTAATCACGCCGCTTTCGTAGGTTGTTTCGAGAATCAAATGAGTTAATGCTCGAAACTCCTTGGAGCACACGGTGCCTGGCACGGAGCGGGCGCTCAGCAGATGGTGACCATTGTTGTCACTGTGTTCCCTCCACACTTGGGCATCTACCAGCCAAAGCAGTCCCTTCCATTTTAGACACTGGCCTAGGCCCCAGGGGATACCCCGAGGATATTTAAGACAGTGTGGTTTGCCAACCTATGGGGGTGTTGAGAGTCTCACGAAAGGGGCGCAGTCTTCAGAGAACTTGCCAAGAAAGTCTTCCTGGGCGGCGCGGCCCTCGGCTTCGATTCTCCGGCGCCTTCTCCTGGGGCCTGAGCGCGCCCCCCACAGGCAGTCCCTAGGAAAGCCTCGGCCGGGGAGCCCCGGAGCCCAGTGGCCCCAACCCCTCTCCCCCTCCCCCCGGGCGGCCATCCTCGGGGGCGAGGCAGCCGGCGCGTGGGAGGGGACGGCGCGCCATTGGCTTGCGCGCGGGACCGAGAGGAGGGACCAGCGCGGGCCGCCAGACTCGGGTAAACCCCGGCCGCGCAGGACGCCGCGCGCAGTCCCGCCCGGTCCGGCCCTGCCCTGCCCTGCCCCGCGCGGGCGGCGCGATGTGAGGCTCCCGAGGGCCCGAGCGTCCCCTGGCTCGCCAGCTCCGCGCAGCGCCGGCGCCAGCATGCGCTAGGAACGTAAGTTCTGTTCCCCGCCGCCGCCTCCGAGCCTCGCACGCTCCCCTCCCGCCGCCGGCCGGTGCCTGCGCAGCGCAGCCCAGCCCAGCCCGGCGGGGCTTCTGCCGCCCGCAAGGACCGCGGCAGACCTGGGGACCCCGCGCGCGCCAGCTGGACGCCCCAGGACCTCTTGGCCCCGGCGGATAATGCCGGGATTCCAGTGGTCGCCTCCCCCCACCCAAAAGGCGCAGCCCCGCAGTCCCTTCGGTTACCTCCCTTGGCGCTCTCCACTCGCACCGCCCCTCCCTCTGCCTCGGTTTCCCTTTCTACCCCGGCTTTCTCCCTTCGCTGTCTCCTCCCTTTTGGACTGTTGATTTCCCCCCTGCCTCCCCCTCAGCTTCGGAGCAAGAGAGAAAGAGCCGAGAGCAGTTTCTGTCTCCCTGGGGTCCGACTGTTGTCCCCGCGCTCGGTTCTCTGTCCCCTCCCCCCACATCGCCATTGTTCCCCGGTCCAAGGAGTGCGCGGCACAAACTTGCGAGTGCTCCTCCTTCTGCCTTCGCCCCCGCAGAGCCGCGGACCGCGGTGGCGGAGTTCCCGCTGGCCGGACCTACTGGTTCGGCGGGCCGTGGGGGCGTCCGGCAGCCGGGAGCTCCCCGCCTGGGGTCCTCCAGCCCTCAGGCCCGGGTCTCAGAAAGTGGGTGAGTGCCTGGAGCTAGGAGATAAAGGACACAGAGGCGGAAGAAGAAGCCAGACTGGGAGAGACCCTGGTCTCCGGGCCTGCGAGGGAAGGAGGGATCGGGGGGAGGGGGAGGAGGCAGAAACCGTAGCCGCGCCTAAGACCCAGTTGTTGGGTGGGAGGGTCCGGGAAGCTCAGGTAGAGACGGACGCTCCCCCGTCTCCCCTAAGTCGCGCGCTCAGCGGGAAGGGGGCAGTGTGGGGCCATCGGCTTGGCTCTCGGTGGGCTGGGGGGTCCCTGCCAGGAGCAAAATAGTCGCATCCACTTCGGGTTGGGGTGGGGTGGGGGGCGTCTATCGAGGAAACGCCGGAATCCTGCGCGCATCGCGGTCGCGCCCCACCGGGTCCGGCGCTTGCGTTGCGTTCCCTTGCCCCGCCCTCCCCGCCCCCACCCAGTGCCGGGCTCCCGCCGCCCCCACGCGGCCTCAGGGGAGCGGGTTTCTTCTCTGGAGCAAGGTGGGCGGGGGCAGGAGTGGCCCGAGGCCGGGAACTCGGGGCTCCTCTGGAGCCCAGCGCTGACGACCAGTGCCCCCTCGGTTTCCCACCATCGCCCCGCTCTTCCTGGTTGATTTCCTTCAAACTTTCCCTGGTGGGGCTGTCCTGCTAGGAGAAGGCATCACGGCCACAGGGATGCCCACCCCAACTGGGCGGCCTCTTGGACCTAAACCTCTGGTGGCCCGTGCAGAGGGGGCCAGAACCCTCTGCAGATCCTCTCTTCCTGCGAGCTAGAGATCCAGGGACACAGAGTGGAATGGGGTGGGAGGCGCTGGTGGAGCGCCAGGAAGGGACACTGTCCATTCCTTAGCAGAAGCCTCACACCAGCCCCACACTCAGCCCAGGAAGAGGGAAAGTTTTTCTTGTTGGGTTGTTAGGACATAAGGAACTGTGTGTTCACCAGGTCTCTGTTTTCCTGTCTACAAAATGGGCCGTCTGGTCCCTGAGGTCCCCTCTGGCTCCATTAGCTGGAAGCAAGCTGCCCTGACTTCTCTTTTTCTGCCCACATACTGTAGGTTTAATCAGTCCTTAAAAATTTGGAGTGGAGCGCTGAGGCCCAACCAAAGGCCTTCACCCATATCTGGCTGTCAGCACCTGTTGGATGCCTGCCCCCAGGCTCCAGCTGAAGCTTCTCCATATCTGTACTTTGCTGCCTTCCCTCTCCCCAAATCTGATGATAGGCCCCCACCAGCTCTGGAGAAAGGGCCTGCCCCTCACTGTGTGGGGGTAAGAGAGTGATGAAATTAGCAGTGACCTCTGATATACGTAGTTCAAGACTCGTCTTTACTTTCGCTGTTTGAACAAATTGTGGGCCCTATACCAAAGGTGGTTTAGTGAACCAAGTGCTGGACAGTTCTGGGCACTGGGAGACAGTTGAGAACAAAACGAAGACTCTTTCCCTCATGGAGCTGACACTTAAAAGGTAGAAGGACAAATAATAAAGTAAATTATATAGTGTATTGGGAGGCGAGGTGGGGGAGTTGACTGTCAGGAGTACTGAGGCCAGGGGTGGGGTTTCCATTTTATTTATTTAGTTTTTTTTTTAAGATTTTATTTATTTGACACACAGAGAGAGAGAGATCACAAGTAGGCAGAGAGGCAGGCAGAGAGAGGGAGGGAAGCAGGCTTCCCGCTAAGCAGAGAGCCTGATGCGGGGTTCGATCCCATGACCCCAAGATCATGACCCAAGCGGAAGGCAGAGGCTTAGCCCACTGAGCCACCCAGGCGCCCCACGGTTTCCATTTAAAACAAGGTGGTTGAGGAGGTCTTCCTGAGGAGGTGACTCTTGATCCAAGGCTTTGAAAGCGTGAACTGTGGGGATAGCTTGGGGAAATAAAGATCCTGCAGAGAATGGCCTGTGCAAAGGCCCTGAGGCTGAAATGTGTCTGCCATATTTGAGAAACAGTAAGGAGCCACTGTGATTCTCGTGGAGTGAGGGGGTGGGGCAGAGCTAGGAGGCAAGGCTGACTGAAAAGGGGTGAAGCGTATCCCTTTCGCAGATGAGGGAAGTGGTGCTCAGCAATGACTTGTAAATCACCCCAGGACATGCAGCGGCAGGATGGGGTCCCTGAGGTTCTGCCTCTTGGCCCATACTGTTTGCACTTTCCCTGCATCTCAGCTACTCACTGGCAACACGGTTTTGCATCCCTGCCAAGGTCAGGCCTGGCCAAGTGCCAGAAACGTGGAGGGGAGCCACCCAGGCTTAGTACCTCAAGGGGATCCGCAGCCCTGCCACCCACCCATTAGCCGTCTCCCCAGGTTCTCCCTGCCCATCCGTTGTGAGCGCCTTGGGATAATGTCTTTCTCCTGACACGGAGTGACCCTTGTTCCCTTCCCATTTCCTTCTTAAGTCCACCCCTTGTTAACACCCCATTCTGCATCCACATATAGCCCTTAGAAGGGAACTGAAGCTGGTATGGTCAAGGGGGAAACTGAGGCAAAGAAGTTGAGTCTCTTAGCCTGAGAATAATACCAACAACGTTATTACTGAGCATTCGCTATAAAACGGTTGCCATTCTTGGTGTTTTTGTGCATCTTCTCATCAGTAGGTGGTAGGTGTCCTTATTACACCCATTTCACTGATGACGAAACTGAGGCCCAGAGAAGTGGTGTCACTGGCCCAAGGCCATGCAGCTAATAAATGGTAGAAGCAGGATTTAAGCACAGGCCTTTTGAGTCCTGATCTACTCCTTTGACCCTGAGCCAGAGCCCCAAACCCTAGGGGAGATGGTCGGTCCTGGACTGTAGTTCTAGCCCATAGCATCCTGGGAAAAGTACAGGGACCTTTCTGCCTGCCTCTCCCAACCCACCCAGAAGGTGAATCTCCTCTTGCTTCTGGAAAAGTTGGCTTAAAATACTGGAGAATCCCTACAAGGAAGTGCCCCTTCCCCACTCTTGTCCTCCCCTTTCAGAATTTTAGAGAGAGGTAGGAGGGGCGATAGTGGGGGTGTATGGCCTGTGTCTGCTACCTCCTCACCAAAGCCCTGGCCCCAGGGCAGCCAGAAGTCAGGCTGTCCCCATGGTCATGGCCCCCATGGGATTTGGAAGCACCAGCTGCCTTTGAGGGCCCTGACATGATCCCTGGGCTGGTGGGGTCGGGGGGACGACGGGCCCATTCCCGGTTGAAAAGGATAGAAATTCCCCTTGTGGTCACCCTCTGCATCAGCAGGGACAGGGAACACCCCCCCCCACAATGACATCTGAGTGGTGACAGCTGCTGGTCAGGGGGCTGGATCCCCCTTTCCCACCACCCTCAGACCCCGGGGGGTGAGGCCCAGGGAGGTCCCCTCCTCTGTTCTGTCTTGTCTCAGCCTTTCTGGTGTGCAGGCAGTGTTTACTTTCAGTCCCTGAAGCTCTGGAGATGTTTATTTGTGATGAAAAGTTTGGGCTTCCCTCTGCCATTCTGGCAATCAGGCACCTTCAAAAGGAAGAGAATAGTAGATAAATCCTATGTGTCCCCAGGGGCAGCCAGGCAGCTGGAGCTAGGGCCTCGTGTCCTGTTGGTGTGTGGATTTCCACACAATGGAAGCCACATTGTTGAACATGACGGAGACCACACTCTCAGTTTTTCTTAGATGAGGCGACTGAGTCCCAGAGTAGGGCACTAGTTTTGCCATGGTGGCAGACAGACTCTCTGGGGACCTCAGCTGTCCTGTCTCCCCACTGGGCACCATGCCATTTCCCGTGTACCTGGACATTCTTGGAAATGGGACATGGAGTGCCTTCTTTTTCTTGAGTCTGGGTTTTGTCTCAGGGACCAGGTCTGTCCCCACAGCGGGATTCAGATCCTGCCCCCTCCTCTCCACTGCCAGGGCTTGCCTGCTGCCCCGCCCCACCCTTCGCATCCACCCTGAGCCCCGGGGGTGGGGGGTGGGGGTGAGGCAGGTGATGGATGATGCTGGCAGGGCTCGTGGTCTGCTGGAGAGGCAAGGCTTACTCAGGCGGGCTCAGCCTTTAGAATAAGTCTGCTCTCGAGGGACACACCGCCAGGAAGCTCTGTGGCGTGTAGCCTCGCCTTGGCTTGGTGCTGTCGCCCCGAGACCCATGTGACCAGACCCGCACCTGGGGGCCACTGCGATGACGTCAGTCATGACGCCAGTCACACATTAGTGAAGCAAACCCCCTTTGTGTCCTGTGACTTCCTAGCTTGGCTGTAATTCTGCCCCAGCCTGGTAAGTCAGGCATCGTGACCCACATTTATAGCACAGGAATGGAGGGTCTTCAGGCTGACTTGCCCCACGGCCTCAGGCTGGTAATGAACGTGGGTCTATCCATGCCCACACCCCTTCAGC